TTCTTTGCCGCGATGCTCATGGTCGCCGTGGCCGAGTTCGACAAGGACCCCACGGTGACGGCGAACATGATCAAGATCGGGACACAAGTGGAGTACACCGGCAACAAGGACAGGTCGACTGGGAAGAAGACGACGGTGGTGACGGACGCGGAGGCCTTGTGGGCCATGCTCTACGCTGACGACGCGACCATCGTCTCGCGCTCGCCGGAGAGTCTCGAGAAGATGATGTCGGTCATCGTGCGCGTGGCCGACCTGTTGGAACTGATGGTATCGGAGCCAAAGACGGAGATCATGTGCATGTTGCCGAAAGGGATCGAGGAACGCCCGTTCACGGTCAGCGCCGCCGGCCAGACGTACAAGCAGACAGATCGGTTTGTGTACCGCGGACGTACCATCTCCGCGGACNAAACGGAGACTGTGTTTTGCGGGCTTTGTTATTCGCATGGAGGACAACCGCCTCCCCAAGCGCATGCTGTGAGGAGTGNTCCTTACACGGTGCATCGGCTGGAGCAAGCAGAAACGCTCAGACCGCCCGCTGTCCTATGCCCAGGCCCTCGTCCAGGCAGGCTGCGAGGAAACCATCGAGGCCACCGTGCGCAAACGGAGACTGTGTTTTGCGGGCTTTGTTATGCGCATGGAGGACAGTCGCCTCCCCAAGCGCATGCTGTTAGGAGCGATGGCGGGGGGCGTGGGATACCGGGGCGGGCAGGAGAGCGACTGGGTGTCTCGTCTAGGAGAGGACCTCGTGGCCTTCAACATGGGAGACGAAAAGGAAGGGGCTCAATGGAAAGAGAGCGCCAAGGACCCGGAGGTCGAGGACGGGGTGGCATGGTTCATGAGGATATGGCACAGGCAGGAGGCGGAAGCGTCCGCGAAGCGCCAGCGCGCCAGGGAAGCAGAAGCAGAGAGTACGGTCATCTCACGACCGAAGAGCAAGAGAGCCGGGGAAGCGGCGGTAGGCGGGAAGAAAGGGCGACCAAGCACTGCTGTAGAAGCGAGTAGGGCGGCCGAGTCAGCAAATGTGGCGAATTATGTACCTGGCTGATGTTGTTGCGCCCTGTTTCCTACCCTGCTGTATGGTATACTCCTTCATATATGTCCTCTGTATTGCCTTCGGCCTCTGTGCTGTGTTTATTTTTTTCATGACCTCCCTGCCTACTCTGTTGGGTTGGGTACCTTGATCTCGCTTTTGCTGTTGCCGTTGTTTTTGTACGTCTGGCTGTTTGCCCATCTGCCGCCTCTTTGTCCTGTTTGTTCCGTTACTCCTATGCCCTGGTGCGTAGTGCCTGGTGCTGGTACGTTACCCTTTGGTTTTTTCTTTGGGCGGGTGTGGGAAGCGTCCTCCTTTTTTTATGTATATTTTGATCGGTTTCCGAGGGCTCTTTTCTCGAACGGTCGATGCGATACCTGTTCTTTCTGGTTCTTTGCTTTCTATCATGTTTTTTTTTTTCCGAGTGGTTTGTACCCTATTTCCGTTTTGTTTCCCCGCGGCGTCGTATGTGCCGGTTTTTGAGACCACGGACTTCCCATTTTTGTGGACTATAGAGCTAATGTGACAAACAACAACAATAAATAACAACAAACCACGGCCACCTCACCATACCACGGACCCTTTAATCATTCCACGGGAAAACACGTAACTTCTTTATGTTGTTGTGGTTTCTGACATTAGCTCTATAGTCAGCAAATAATGGGGAGCCCGTGGTCTCCAAACCTGGCACATAAGACGCCGCGGGGAAACAAAAACAAAATTAGGGTTTTAACCACTCGGAAAAAGACGACAAAATGATTGAAAGAAAAGAACAGCTACCGCACCGACCGTTCGGGAAACGAGCCTTCGGAAACCGATCAAAATATAACAAAGACAATAATAATAATTGTTTTTTTCGTGAGGAGTGGCCCGATAGGGACGCTTTTTGTTAAACAAAAAAAGTTGTTTAGAGGCGTGGGGGCAAACGGGCCAACGCTGTCCGACGGTCTGTCTGACCAGCCATAAATAAGGCAGCAGACTCGAGCCCATTTCACCATCTCGGCACCAAATTGCAATCTAAGACGTGCCCCAACTGCTACCTCTTCAATCCGTGCTCGATGCGTCGAGATAGTGCAGCATCGGTACCCAACTTGAACCAGGAAAGTTGCTGGCCCCTTGCAACACCGAGAGGAGGCGACGTTTGATTTTGAACCAAGACGTGTAGCCTCGCACACCACATACACCACACACACCACACACACACAGCCAAACATGGACAAACAGGGAGAGGGAGGCACAGACCACAGCGAGGGCGAGACGGCGGGAGAAGNACCACACACCACACACACACAGAGCCAGACATGGATAAGCAGGGAGAGGGAGACACAGACCACAACGAGGGCGAGACGACGGGAGAAGGGTGTGCCATACACTGCTGCTGTTAGTTATCGGCGGAGGAAGCGAGAGGAGAGATAAAAATTTGGTTGCAGCAGCAGCAGCAGCAGCAGCAGCGGCCTCTCTCTCTCTCTTTCCGCGGAGAGGGGAACATGTCACCAACCACACGCAGACTGATCGATAATTCGGGTGGCTCGGTTCTTTGTGCTTGGAGCTCAAAGC